TAACTTGGAGAAAATCTAGTATATTAATGGTGTAATCTGTTAATTGATTATCATTTTGTTGTTTACATATTAAAAAAGAAATTGACTGTTGAATACGATCAGATGAGTAATAAGTCTCAGTGATTAAGTCATAATGGATGGTTATGGTTAATGAACAGAATAAATTTTAAGGGTTTATTTTTTTTTTAAACTAGAGATAAAAAACACAGTATAGGGTTATTATAGAGGCACTAACGGTTAGGCATAAGATGGTTATAATATTTTTATCGTATGAGTTGAACAATCATTGAAAACCAAGGTACCTGATCAACATTTATCTATAGACTACCACTGGAACCCAAGGCTTCAAATTACTTTAGTAAACTCGAGTCAGCAGAGACGTTAATTATATTCTACATATGATACAACATAAATTCTCCAATAGTTTGACACACATTCTACATTGATCTTCAAAATTATAAATTGTTCTTTCAATTTAACAACTATATATTGGTAGTGAAAATTATAATGATCTAGTAAATCCAGTCTTAAAGTGATAAAGCATAGTTTCGAGCGATACTCAGAAGGTATGCAGTAGAAGCAAGATCACAATGATGGATAGTGACTAGCAGTGGAATCCAGGACGAGCATTTTGTCCTATTTGAGACTCGTCAGCTAGACATACCTGCATCTCATAGTTGATGTTCAATCTGGAACTCGAACCCAGTGCCGTTCAGCTTAAACGCCATAGTATTATTTACTTAGCTACTGAGTCCTGAGGGCCACCTGCTTGTGCGATGGGGCTGAAGTTATATTCACTTGGTATTGTTCACATGTATCTTCCCATTGTCATTTAGGACTGCAGCCGATCAACCTCTTATTGTCATATGTGCATATTATGCGGACTACCTCGATATTGTCTGAAGTCACAAGCTTTATAAGCAAAAATGGATAGTGGGTGACAAATTTATAAAAAAGGAACTAAGAATATCAATATCTGATTGTCAAAATGGTAACTTTCTATTGCATCATTTATGAGTAATTCCCATATACTCGAGAATAAAATTTCTATAATTATACGCATAAAACTCAATTAATTTAGAGTGAATTCACAGCTAATAAACAAAATAGGTGATCAATTAGTAATAATCTTTTCTATATTTCCAGAAGGGGTTTTGTGGAGATTTTAGAAATTTCACTGATTGAAATCATGAGTGAATTGAAGCTAGACCATCATGGAAAACCTGGAAGCACTGGATCGCCGTTTCGCCCTAGTATGGGACTCTTCAGTAGTGCGCATACACGATCCCGTACCCCGCGAGATTCGAACCCAGGGCCTATCAGTCTCGCGCTAGGCGTTTAATTAAGTAGACCACTGAACCGGCCGGCATCCAACGGTGTTAATGTCTAATTTCAAACAATTCAAGAAGTTGCTCCACCGTACACTATTGTCTTCAGTGAGTTGATATCTCACAACAGACCTGGTTGAACTCCACTGGTAACGACTTCTCACTAGAACTCGAGGAGTATCTCTTGAAGTTAGTCACTAGTGAGCAGATGATTATTATCAAAGGGGGTTTTGTAGAGATTTTTAGAAATTTCACTGATTTAAATCATGAGTCAATTAAAGCTTTATTTCTAATCTGAAGCAAATTTACTCATTTTACTAATGCATATCAGGATAAACTTGTAAATGGAATCATAAGTATTATAATGAATCATTGAATGAACTAAGATTTTAGCTATAATTATATGATCCATTTTAAATAGAACTAATTATAAGTGATATAATTTTGCTTATAAAGAATATCCAAATAATACATCACTTCTAGGGAAGATCCAATCAAAAAAAAATCTTAGATATATTAGATATTCGCTCTATCATCCTAGAATTCTATCTATCTGATTTCCGATTGGTTAACTTTACAAATATTATTAAGATTAGAATGAATTTCCATATGAAATAAGTTACCATTTAACAATTTATATTTCTTCTTAGGGTTAGGGTTCATATCACAATCAATTCTCTTATAATTTCCATAAAGTATTCTGTCTACTATCCTATTTACCATGTGTTAATGTAATGATACTTTATCTTAGCTAGTTTGTGATTGGTTATAATAGATAGATAGAAATATATAATCACACAGAAGGAAAATGAGATGAAAATTAAAATTCACTCCTTTCACATAAAAAATTAGAATGAAAATTAAATAATTAGTTCTTTTGATGAATTTATTCACTGGAATAAATGATAAGAAGTTGACATAATGAAAAACTATATTGTTGTATACAAATCTTGGTAAGTTATTATATTTATTACATTTATTTATTTATTTGAACATATATATATTGGTACAAAAGGGCACCGAATACATATGCGCCATACAAGTCACTTGATCTGTGTGTGGGCTGTGATAGTTGCCGGATACTCAGACCGAAACGGGTGGTTTTCTTAGGGGACCATGCCCGGAGCCTTTGACCTAAAGGTATGATTCACAAGGCAGTGACACAACGTAAAGAGATGCAGTTCCATGGTAGCCGGTTACAAATAATTGGTTCATATGCCATTTGTTCCCTCAGGATTCTGGATTCTGTGTACACCATTGGTTTAGAATCAGGGTTTTCCAACTCCCCAAGGCGGACTCTCTACGTCCACTAACCCGGTTAAAGCACCAAATATTTGCTTTTCGTCCTCTCAATTTCGTAAACAACACTCCCGCAACGAGAAGGCAGTGAGTAGAACTTCCCTGGTAATGGCTGTATACGCGTGGTTATGTGAGAGCATTTGGAGAGGGAGAGCGGACTCTCTCCACTCTCGGCCTTACCAGGGCATTCGGGGGCTCATTTATTACAAATAAATTTTAATTATCAATTTCAATAAACAGATTAATCGTTATGACTTTAGATAATTTCTTTTTAGCTCCCTAATTATATTTAGTAAATTCTGAGTTGAATTAAATCCTATCAAATATAGGTATTGTGGAGTTTGGCTTAATTGTTCAATGATACTTACATCATAGATTGAACTTAATGAATGTATTATTGAGAAAGATTGTAGAGCATGACAATTCATTATATAGTTAGTATGTCACTCTTAACCGTTTATTGCACTTATCAACCACACAAAAGTTTATCTAAATAAGTCGATGAATGAAGAATCATATTGATGTGACAGTGTGTTCAATGATTAAAGTAAGAGTGAATATGTATTCTACTGTAAACTACTATGATCATTTCAAGTAAGATTTCGAAATATATCATTGAGAATTTCATGTGAAATATCAATCAAATTACATAAGTACTGTTGAGATAATTATATGTGATAAGTTTATGGTTTTTCAATTCCCTATAATGTATTAGACTAGTACAATTGTGAAAAATAGACTCGGAGACAAATAAAACTGGACACTAATATGAATAGTACTATTTAAAAAATTGATACAGTTAATTAAAATGTCTTCCTTGGTAAACTTTTTCAGTCAAACTGTATTTTCAAAGAATGTAAACAGTAAATGCCAGGTTATATAAGTTTATTATTATATAAACATCCAACAGTTATTTAAATTGTCTGTAGAGAGGTAGTTGGCTAAGGTCATCTGAAACATTTTCAATGTTTAGTAATTGTGTTATATCCAATACCTTTAATCATTATCCGTTCATCTAATGAGCGAGTATGCGTACTGAAGTATCCAGAGTTACTTACAATTGTCTACTATGAATTTCTTAGAGTGATACAACCCAATGTGGTAGATGAAAAATATAAAGACAGTGTAAGTTAATGTTAAGAAATAAAATCCCTAACGAATATTACACTATAATATGTAACATTTAGCCATTAAATTAACAACAACAAAAATCACTAAGAGTACTTAATACAATACATTTATTCAACGGAAACGGAACAAATAACCTCATCGTTGGTAGTCGATTGATTACAACACTTAGCCTTTAACCTTCAGGTTACAGGTTTGAATTTTACACCTCAAGTAATTTCATTTAAACAGTCAGATAGTACCAGTATAGGTAAGTGGATTACATTTTAATAAATTCACTTTTCTTATTATTCTGTATAATATCAACTAACTTTCCTCCTACCATCTAATCAAAACAAATTAGACAGAAGACGGATTCTCTAACTCTGTACATTATTCAATTCAATTATATTTGTTACTATAAAAGTTCAAATTACTCAAACTAAACAAATAACAATAACGAGAAGGGGTTTTGTGGAGTAATTTCAATAGTTGAGATCATGAGTGAATTGAAGCTAGACCACCATGAAAAACCTGGACTGATAGGTCCTGGGTTCGAATCTCGCGAGGGGCAGGATCGTGGATGCCCACTACTGAGGGGTCCCATACTAAGACGAAACGGCCGTTTAGTGCTTCCAGGTTTTCCATGGTGGTCTAGCTTCGATTGACTCATGGTTTCAACTATTGAAATAAGAATAAATAAACAAAGAAATTAGTTTTGTTTAAATATTTCAGTCTGTAAAAAAACAAAAGAAAAAACTCTAAAGAGTTTTATTATTATTATTATTATTATTATTATTACTCAACAATCCCCATAATCATATACTGATAATTATCACATGCTCACTAGTGACCAGCTTTAAGATGAATTTCCTGGAGTTCTAGTGATAAGCAGTGACCAGCGGAGATCAACCAGGTCTGTTGTGAGATAGTAACTCACTGGAGACAATGGTGGACGCTCGTGCAATATTATGGACTGGTTGAAGTTAGACATTATTATCGTTGGATGCGGGCTTAGTGGTCAAGAGGCTAAGCGTTGAAGCATGCGATATCGTGGATGCGCACTGCTGAAGAGTTCCATAATAAGACGAGATGATCGCCCAGTGCTTCCAGGTTTTCATTGGTGGTCTAACACTGATTCATTCATGATCTCAATCTAATTTAATAAGTGTTTAAAAAAATCAACAAGAAAAATCTATTTCATATTTCATTTCATTTCCTTATTTATTTTTATTTCATTAAGTGAATAATTAAAGCTTCATTAGAATGTCAATGGAATATACAGTCTTAGACTCTTCAATTTCTTCTCAACGTTATTCATCTAATAAACAGTTTATAAATGATAATCAAAGTAATTTGATGAATAATTTCATATCTGATATATATTCGTCTTCATTATTTGAACAATTCCCATTTCCTATGAAAAATTTTCCATCAACAGGATCACCTTTACCCTCCATCTCCCCTAATCCTTTATCATCATTCCCATTATCATCAATAACAGTTAGAAAATTATCAAATATGGAAATAATTCAAGAAAATGACATACATAATGTTAACCTTCAATTAAACCCTAGTAAATATAAATTACCATTATTATCTACTCATCAACTAACAGATAATCATATACAGTCAATATCAACAACCGAGACAAATATTCCATCGACTTCTATCACATTAATAAATTCTTTCAATAAAACACAATCAAATGAGTCTAATAGATCAATAATAAAAAGAACAAAAGCATATCAAAATATATATCAGAAATCAACTAAAGATTGTAATGGATGTAATCAACCAATCTTTGAAAAAACTTACCTTGGATTATCTGATGGACAATCATGGCATATGAATTGTTTAAATTGTAATACATGTGGAAAGTGTTTAGATAAAGAGACTAGTTGTTTCAATAGATATGGACAAATTTATTGTCGTAAAGATTATGAACAGTAAGTTATTCATGATCGAATTTTATTTATTTGATTATTCGTAGACCAATTCATTGTAGAATAATAAGTTGATAAGAGGTAATCCAAGTTTTTGTACTTTAAACAAACCATATAAATGTGATATCAACAAATTCAAAATAAACATTTGTATTTGATTGAGATCATGAATGGATCAATGTTAGACCACCACTGACAATGTGGAAGCGCGGGACATCTGTTTCGTCCTAATATGGGACTCCTAAGCAGTGCGCATCCATGATCCTGTACTCGGGATTCGAATCCAGGAACTTCGGTCCCACGCTTAAACGCTTAACATTTTTAATTAAGATATGTAGGGTTTATATAATTTTATCACAAGAACTATATATATTTAAAACCAATTTGAAGTTTATTATTTGAAATTAATCATAAGTAGTCAATGGAAGATATAAAATCAAGAAGCAATAAAATTGTTTTCACAAAATGTATCTACTAATATCTCAAGTTCCTAATATTTGACTCATTGGAGCCAATACTATGAATTCTATAGTCTTAACCACTATTCCCGTGAGTTAAATAATAAAAAAACTTCAGCTTCTAATACATGATGCTTCCATATTTGAAGATGTAAATTACAATTCTAATTGAAACATTCTCATCATCTTGGATACAGTTAGACCTGATTAACAAATTTCAAATAGGAATAGTATGAAAACTGAATTTTTAATGAAAGTAATGAATTCCATTGATCTTTAGATCTAATTTTTAAAAAATTTTCTAAGATCATATAGAGTAATATCTGAAGAATAATGAATCAAATGAACTTTTAATAAATAATTACAATGATTGCTAATGAATGAATTGATATTCAACATAGTGATTTCATAAATTCACTGATTGAAATCATGAGTCAATTGAAGTTAGACCATCATGGAAAACCTGGAAGCACTGGATGGCCGTTTCGTCATAGTGTGGGGCTCCACAGCAGTGCTCATTCACGATCCCGCGCCCCGAGTGATTCGAACCCAGGACCTATCAGTCTTGGACCAGGTGCTTGACCAACTATAGAATTCCAGGAGTATATCTTGAAGTCAGTCACTAGTGAGCAGAAGATTATTATCAGAAGGGGTTTTGTGGAGATTTTGGTAGTCCAGCTTCAAATGACTCATGAGTTCAACCAGTGAAATTACTAAAATCTCCACAAAACCCCTTCTAATGACTTCATAATTATTGGTAGTTAATAACATTAAACTATTCTATAGAAGAAATAAACTTTAAACTGATATACCAAACTTTCATAACATTTGCAGTTTTTATTTCATAAATACATAATGTGCTTTTTAAGAACGAGACTACAAAAAAAACAGCACAAAACATACTTACAAGTAATATAGTACTGTTACATATTGATTTTGATAAGAATTAGCGTTTAAATTATTTCTAGTAATATAGTTTTTGTCATATTCGTTGTCATTGTTATTGCTGTTCCAATTAGTTTATTTTTTTTACTTTTGATATTTAACTCTTCTCAAATACTGTGTTAATTCGTACAAAAAAGAGACGATACTACTCAAACTGATAGTTGATTTAATCAGTGTAATGACATATTGTTTATAAATAGATAAGCTGCTATAATTAACATTTCAACATAATGATAATACGTGCTAGAAGGGGTTTTGTGGAGATTGTAGTAAGTCTAATAGTTGAGATCATGAGTCAATTGAAGCTAGACCACCATGGAAAACCAGAAAGCACTGGACGGCTGTCCACAAAACCCATTCTGATATTAATCAACATACGCTCACTAGTGAATGGCTTCAAAAGGTATTTCATGGAGTTCTAGTGAGAAGCAGTGACCAGTGGATTTCAACCGGGTCAGTTGTGAGATAATAACTCAGTGACGACAATGGTGGATGTATCATTCAATTTCGTGGATTAGTTGAAGTTAGACATTAACACCATTGGATGCCGACCGGCTCAGTGGTCTAGTGATTAAGTGCTCGTGCGCAAGACTGATAGGTCCTGGGTTCGAATCCCGCGGGGTGCGGGATCGTGAATGAGCACTGCTGAGGAGCTCCACAATAGGACGAAACGGCGATCCAGTGCTTCCAGGTTTTTCATGATGGTTTAGCTTCAACTGACTCATAATCTCAACTATTGAGATAATATGTGCATTAATCATTACACGTTTCAGTCATGCTTTGTAACAATATCATTCTATCAAGTAACAGGTAAATCACACCACTCAGTCTCTTATATAATGAACAAGACTGTTACTTTCCAATTGTTCAAAATGAATCGTTATTTTTATTAAACAAACGGATATTCATTATCAAATGTAATTATTATAATCAGATTTCTTTATTTAGTTAATTAAGTCACAAGTTTCAATAAAGAACTATGAGTTGCATCGTTACGCAACATCAGTCATCAGATGCTTTTATGTCACTAACTTATATTAGTATATATAATGGCAGAAAAGAAGAAACACCTGAGAGTCATTCAAAAAATATATATGAAACCGCCAAATTTTCTTTCAATGTTAACAAATATTTACGAAAATTGCCTTTTCTATTAAGAGATATAAACTAACAAATGTTGGATATGGCTACTAGCTCACACAGCCTATTTATTAGCCACGTGTCATTAAAATCAGATAGTTTTAGGTCGAATTGCAGTATTGATGACCTTTGATGTAGGTGACGAAATATTTTAGTCTACAGTTGAGTTGATATTCATTAAAAATGTACCATGTTGTTTTAAACGTTTACTTTGAAGAGATATATGTATACAATAATGATACACGTGAACATTCCTCCATTTCATTTATTCCCTGTTTTCATATATTATATATACATAAACATAGTTTAAGTTGGATTATGATCTTTAGAGAGAATTATTTTGAAAAAAAATATACCCAATGGCTAAATTTAATACATGATAAATAAACTGATTATGTAGATAGAAACACTAATTAAGTCAAACTTCATGCATCAACAAAAGCAATAATGATAAAGTGACTATAAACGTTTAAACCAGGATCAAAATTCTTAAATCAGGGAAACAACAAATAAAATCCCGTTAGTAATAATGAAAAAATAGACACTAACTCTTTACTTTTCTCTTTCTCCCTCTCTCTCTCTCTCAGTTTATGTGTACGTTTATATTGATGTATGCTTACAAAGTAGCCCCAGCTAACAAGAATATGTATGTATCAGTGTGAAATAACAAAATACAAAAATAGAAAATGTAAATATACATGCAATAAATGATGTCAATTAAGAAGTAGCGAAAAAAGAAATTAAGTGAAATTTTATGCTCTCGAATGTATTATATTATCAAAAAAAGATGGATGGTAACTAGTAGTGGAGTTCAGGACGTTGGTTTCGTCCTACTTTACCATTCGTCAGCTGGATGTACCTGCATCTCAGAGTTGATATTGAATTCGGGACGAGTCCCAAATAGGACGAAACATGCGTACTGGATCCCACGGTTAGCCACCATCCATCTCTGCTTCTAATACTCGTAACTTAAAGCAATATCGAGACAATCCACACAGGATGCATATGTACCAATAAGAGACTGAGCAATTGCAGTTCTAAACACTAATGGGAAGATTCAAACAAACACTACAAAAATAAATTAGTACTATAGTATCATTATGAAAACGTTTTAATTTTTTGTTTCACTTGCATTTGATTTTTATTAGAAAAGTAAGGAAGATTAAGATTCCTTTTATTCTAGATATCGTATGATGTTGTCGATATTATTCTCAAACCAACTTTTGTCTAAATTTCATTGAACAGTTTCACAGTATTTGGGCGCCGAGTTGATATGACACATTAAAAAGGAAGAATGTATTTGTATTCAAATTCATTCGCTGAAATTTTAAAGACACATTCCTTCTCTTTAATTATTCCCAAACTGTTTATTATTTTGCTATTTATTTTTTAAAAACATGAATATCATACAGGCATAATGAGAAATGAATTAAGAATGGTACATAAATAAATAAAAACTAATATAACAATGACATTTATCAGAAGGGGTTTTGTGGAGATTCTAGTAATTTCAATAGTTGAGATAATGAGTCAATTGAAGTTAAACCATCATGGAAAACTTGAAAGCACTGGACAGCCATTTGTTCATATTGTGGGACTCCTCGGTAGTGCGAATCCACGATCCCGACTCGCAGGACTCGGACCCAGGACCTATCAGTCTCGCGCGCGAGCGCTTAACCACTAGACCACTGAGCCGGCGTTTATAAAATTTATTTATGGACTAATTTATTAATTGATCATTAAATGATAACTGACATTATATTATAGATCATATTATTGAGTAGAGTATGATCACTTCAAGAAATATAATATTATGTATGAGCTTAAATGTTTACAAGTACAGTCGATCAGAAGACTTCAAAGTATATTTCACGACTGTTTAAGTTAATGCAAGTGACTAATCTAACAATAATTACATTTTGATCATACATTGCTCAATTCTGCATTTAGAAATGCTATCAAAGGCATATTTTTAAAAAAATTCATAATTGAACTAGATGTAAATAAGTAATCAATGTCATTATGATAAATCTTCGATTTCATTGGATGGATTTCTTTTGTAACCGTAGATATTACTTATTAATAACCAAGGGAATTGAGAAAGCATAATAAAAAAATTATTAGAAATATAAATTCACTTGGTACTGTTTGGCTTGTATCTTCCTATTGAGGTTTAAGATGCAGGTACATCCAGCTGACGAGCCCCAAATAGGACGAAACGCGCGTCAAACTGGATTCCACTGCTAGCCACTATCCATCATTACTTACGAAAAAATTATTAGAAATATAGTTGAAAAGAATAGACTAATATCCTTACAATTACTAATTGCTGGTATGACTTTTGAAAAAGAATGGGAAAAAAAGAGTGATGAATTATTTCTCTTTAACTAGTTTTTTTATCATATGCGTTCAGCAATCATAATATATATATATATATTGCAAATCCTTATCAGATGAAAGAAGT